TATATATATATATATATATATATATATATATATATATATATATATATATATATATATATATATTTATTTATTGTATAAATGTATACTATGATCCAGTATGATTTTGTATTATAGTACATTATCAATATGAAAACTACGTTATAATAAATTGTATATACACTAGTGCATATAAATTTATTACCTGCCACCACATATGAAAGAGTTATTAGCACGTATGAAAGATCGAAAATCTACAGCACCTTTTCCTGCCAATCTGAAAACCTTCGCCCGTACTCTCTACTTCCACTCTCCAGCTGCGTATGAAGTTGTTAGACGTAGTTTTTTAAAACGTATACCTTGTGTTCAAACTCTGAACAGTTGGACATGTGCAAAGGAGTACAAGCCAGGAATATCTGATAAAACTATTAATAATGTGTCTGATATTGTCAACCAAGAATGGGCAAAAGGCAAAAAACTCGTTTTCAATCTCACTTTTGATGAAATGAGCATTAAACAGCATAAAGAATGGGATAAAAATACACATTCGTGGAAGGGTCTTGTAGATTTAGGTGGGCAGTTGAATGAATCAAACGCATATGGGGAACATAAAATTGCAACAAAGTCATTAGTTTTTATGTTAGTAAATATTAATGGCGGATTTAAAGTTCCAGTCGCTCATTATTTGATTCATTCATTAACTGGCGTAGAAAAATCAATCCTGCTCAAAGATTTATTGATTAAGCTTAATGAAAAAAAAATCGATGTAGTTAGTGTAACATTCGACGGCGATCGAGCCCATAGAACAGCTTGCGAATCGTTAGGCGCAAATCTGAATTATAAAGACAAAGATAATTTTAAGCCATATTTTGAGCATTCAGGTAGTTTAAAACCGGTTTATATTTTTTATGATCCTTGTCATTGTTTAAAACTTATTCGAAATTATTTTGCTACAAAAGGTCTAATAATGTACGATGGACAAGAATACATTCATTGGGGGTTCATAAAAAAATTGCAGAAAGTACAAGAAAGTGTGAAATTACATTTTGCTTGCAAAATTAGTAATAGACACGTTGATTTCTATAAAGAGAAAATGAAAGTGTATTTGGCAGCTCAAGTGCTAAGCAGAAGTGTCTCAATCGCTTTAAATTTATTAGAATTTACTTATAAAGATGAAGACTTCAAAAATGCTTCTTCTACAGCAAATTTTTGTCAAATTAATAATGATATATTTGATTTGTTAAATGTTCGGAATAAATTTTACAAAACAACAACTCGAATAAGTATTAATAAAACTAATTTAAAAGAAGTAGAAAACAAAATAGATAAGTATATTCAGTACATTGAAAAATTAGAAATGAACGAAAAAACAAGAAAAACAAAATCAATCGATACAGTCAACACAGAGATTAATAAAAATAGTACAAATACAAACAGCGAAGTTACGGTGCGTAAATCAGTTTTGCAGAGTGATTCGGTCAGCACAGGTTTTTTAGGATTTATTGTTTGTTTAAAAAATTTATACAGTCTTACTAAGAATTTAATACAAAATAACGTCATTGAATATCTCTTAAGCTACAAGTTATCACAGGATCATATAGAAATGTTTTTTTCATCTATCCGAAGAATGAATGGATTTAATAATAATCCCACTACAACTCAATACAACTCTGCATATAAAAAGTTGTTACTAAACAAATTGGATATTATAACATCTTCTTCAGCAAATTGTACTCCTTTCGACCAAACATTATTTCTTTCTAGATATCAGCATTACCGATGAATACTGTACTATGCATGCTGAATCGTTAAAAAATAACGACCAAAAAGTAAGCTTTATTAAAAAAGAACGTGTTACTTTAAATAACATAACTAATATACAAAGTATATATAATAATGACGAATGTTCTAAAATTAGTAAAACAAGAGTAAACTGTACTATTAAGGTTGGTGATTTTTTACAAAATGAAAATTATCATATGTTCGAACACTGTTATAAGACTGAAAATAAAGGCTGGTCCTTTTCTGAATACTCCGAAGATATTGTTAAGCATACTGCGGGCGGAATTGCGCGTATTTTGACAAGCAAAATTCACTGTGATAAATGTCGTGATCTATTATTAGATACAATTAATAGTACAAATAAGTCTAAGCTAACAGAAGCCAAAAATTATGGAGGTTTAAAGTATGCATCTTATGATGTAAAGTTTATTTGCAAATGCACGGAAAAAATAATTCGCAAACAAAAATATTTAATTAAAAAAAATGTGAATGATCAATTGATTACGGAAACACTGAAAATTTTACCAAGGTCGATTTTAGATGATGACAAGCATTTTCTCGAACAAGAATTATTTATGGATCATCGTCACCAATTAATTTTACTCATTATACAAAAATATATAGATATTCGTTTAAAACATGAGAGTAAAATTTTGCAAAATCAAAACCAATACGTAATCACAAAGAATACGTATGCTATATAATAAGCTCAGTATTTTTAAAGGTCAATGACTTGTTCAATATTTTTAAGTATATTTATAGAAATACTATTGATATTGAACTTTTATACGTTTAGTGTTTGATTGTATAGTATATTTTATAATAAATGCTTTACAAAATCTGAAAAACTGAAATTCTTAATGAGAAAAAAAAAAATATTCTGATAAACGAAGTTATCAACATGGTTTACAGGTGATTTCCACCTGGGAATCAAGTATCGTTTTGATACGTTTTTAACTTGGTTTTTACCTGACAATCACCTGTTTATCATTTGAGCTGTTTAGTACGGTATTATTACCTCATAGTTTTTAATTTATGCTAAGAGTTTTAATTCAAGTAAATAACTATTTATGTTTTAAAGAGACATTAAATAACAAACAATGAAAAAAAAAGTTTCGAGCACTGGATTTGAACCTTAGCCAAAAAATTAGAAGGCGGCGCTTCAACCACCACAGCCATTGACATCATCACCACGCTTTGATTAAAAGTCACATATCATTATCGCCTCCTCCAGGGCTTTAGTTTAAGATTGAATTTAATTTGGAGTTTGGTTTAATGAGTTAACCTTAAGTTAAAACTTACTTTTTAAACTTACTTCTGTAAGGTTTTAAATGTAGGTTTTGAACTTTTTATTTTATTTTTCAACTCAATTAGAGAACACTAACCGCGCATGCGCGGCTAGACAAGGATAGAGGGGGCCCATATGCAGCTTTCTCTTTCTATTTCTCTATCGCATTCACTTACAGTCCACCTCCATTACTCCCGCGGTCTATTCTAGTAAGTCTATGCAATTTACACGTGCTTTTAAGTTACCTTTAAGGCTGCGTTCCGAAATGCACTGCCAGTACTGAAAATCTATAGTTCATGTTACGTATATTATAAAATTTCAGTACTGGCAGTGAATTTCGGAACGCAGCCTAAATAGAAGCGTCCGAGCGTTAAAGCGTTAGTCAATCAACGTATTAGGTTCAGAAGTATACTTGTAGTTCTTGCGGAAAGTGGCACGTTGATTGGCTATCGCTTTAACGCTCGACACTCGATGCTCCATGTAAAAGTACCTTTAAACCTCTCTCTTATGCAGGATTCACACCGCGTCCGATGTTCGATGTACGACGTTCGATATCCAATAAGAGAATAGCTTTCTAATAGAAAATTCAATTCTACATTGGAAAGCTGTTCTACATTGGAAGCCTATTGGATATTGGACGTCGTACGTTGACGTAGTGTAAGTCCTTTATAAAGTTTTCTCTTCGAACTTTACCAATAAAAACAAAGTGCGCTAAATACGAAGTTAGTTGATTTGTTAAATTGTAACTTCTAATAAGACTTTGTGATATTTATAACGTAAATAATATGAAATCTCGTACATAAAAGAAACAATAATATATGAAATACCGTTGCTATCTCCTTCAATAACACTGATCGACAAAATAAGACCTTTTTTGTGTTTCGACATTCTATAAATCATTTCTAATAGATTTTTTGGCGCTGAGTACGAATCTAGTCATGAAAATAGCGTATCGCGTAAAGTTTTCGAGAAAACTACACTCAAAGTTGCTAAAATAGGCATTTTTAATACTTTTGAATGAGTTATATTTTATTTCGATGGGGACGTGTGCTCCAGAAATCAGTGGCAGCTTAAAATACAGCTCAAGATTTATGCTTTACAATAGAAGATGTCAGAAGTGTCCTAAGCAGGAAAGATTTTTCTTGACTCCAATCTTTTTGATTAGAGTGTTACAGTTTAATCACCAGATTGAACAAAAAAATTTTGGCAGTATGTAGTAAGTTTTCTTGATTGCTATTACTTTTAAGAACAAATTATAAGAGTACAAAAATACAAAATAGAGTAATTTTTGGTACTAACATAATGCTGAGAACAAGGATCTACTTGGTATAACTGTCTACTTTTTAAAAAAAGAAACAGATGTGACTGATATATTTATATTCCAAATCTTTTCTCTACAAATTACCTACTTGATGTTCTTCTCTTTTCTTAAGTTGACTAAACTTTATTGAAGGATAAAAAAGTTTATCAAGTAGTATAATTCAACAACTGGTCAAACTTTCCTTTATTTTCAAATATTAATCTTTAAGTTATAATGAATTACCAAAAATATTTTTCCATAAATTATCATGTAAATTTATACATGTGTGTATAAATTTACATGTATATTATGTGTATATATATATGTCGTACAAATATAAAAATGATTATATATTTTTTATACATTATATAATCTCTAAAATTGGCACAATATAAATATTATTAATTTATATTGATAGATGTCATTTGGAATGTAAAATTAAATTCTTTTAATTGCATTTTTGATACATCAGATCTAAATATTGTATAGCTAGCATTTTGGATGATTTTGTTTGGCAAGTACAGCTACTCCAACTTTGGACTGATTCAATCTACCAAGATATTTGCTGATGTAATCACCAATCTCTACTATTTTATTGAAATCTACACCAGTTTCTAAACCTTGTCCTTCCAGGAGATAAAGCAAATCTTCAGTGGCAACATTTCCTGAGGCACCAGCTGCATAAGGACATCCACCGAGTCCCGCCACTGATGAATCAAAGACTCTTATACCTTTTTCAAGACCTGTGTATATGTTTACCAAGGCTTGTCCAAACGTATCATGACAATGTAGTGCATAATGACTCATATTGCGTGATGACACATGAAGTAACTCGTTTAAAACAAGCTCAATTTTAGTTGGTGTCCCTACACCTATAGTATCACCCAAGGAGACTTCGTAACAGCCGAGATCTAACAATGTTGAAGCTAAATAGGCCGTGATCTTTGGTTTGGTTTCACCTTCATAGGGACAACCAACGATACAAGATACATAACCTCTGATCTTGATATTGTGCTTCTTTGCTTCCTCAATGACAAGTGTAGCTTTTTCTATGCTCTCCTTGATGGTGCAGTTGATATTCGTTTTGGAGAAGGCCTCTGACGCGGCAGTGAACACGGCGATCTCTTTTACGCCAGCTCGGACAGCGCTCTCCAGACCTTTAAAATTCGGCACCAACACCGGGTAAGACACGTCGCTTTTCTTCTCGATCTGTTCATAAACTTGCGTGTTATCTGCCATCTGAGGAATCCATTTCGGCGATACAAAACTTGTTACTTCAATACTGCTTAATCCAGTAATTGATAACCTGTTGATAAAATCAACTTTAACCTCAGTAGGCAATATTTTCTTCTCATTCTGTAAACCGTCACGGGGGCCAACTTCGACTACTTTCACGAAATCGTTGCGTGCCGATGCGTAATTTCTCATACAGCTGCGAACTCTCGACGGCAACTGCAATATTGTACGTTTCAAAAGCAATTCTGTCGTCACGTGCATTTTTACTTGTTTTAAAAGCGTGTCACTGAAAAATATATCGTTCTATTTACGTATTATCTTTCTCTTTCTTTCTCAATGGTCCTTTCACCACATTTATGTATTATTACCCCTGGTCTACATTAGGTAAAGCCAGCAGCACATGTGGTCTGTTTTTTTCAGTTGCACTGCTGAACTGGTGCAATAAGTTAAAGTGAGATAAGTATATGTTTTCTCACTTTAACTTATTGCACCAGTTCAGCAGTGCAGCTGAAAAGAACAGACCATTAGTGTTTGTTTTCGTACTGGATTGCTTGCTGGATGAAAATAGTTGGTCTGTTCTTTCGCCTGCACTGTTGCACTGGTGCAAACAAAAGAACAGACCAACTGTTTTGATTGGTGCATTTCTATTTATTTTCAAAAATGCACAAATTAAAACAAAGTATTTTCATACAAGCAATCCAACACGAAAACAAGCATTATGTGCTGCTGGTTTAAGGTACATGTTTTTGTTGTGTTTTTATTTTTTATTTTATTTTAATTCATTATCAAAGTTACATTACAACGTATGTATGAGTGTGTAATAAAAGATCTGTTCTTTTTAACTAAACTATCTGAGCTGATGCGTACTAGCCGCGTCGTTGTGAACCATCACACTTAATATCAATACATATCGATATATGACATATCGATCTGTATAGTACTTATCGATGTGCATCAATACACATCGATATATAGCGATACGATAGTATCGTGTGCGCGTTCGAATTGGCGGTACGTCCGAACGAAGCGACGTCCGAGGGATGGCGTTGGACGGCAAGTCGCTGGAGCCATTTATTGAGAGAGAGAGAGGAGGACGTCCGGTTTGAGGTTAGGTTGGCTTGTTCGCTACGGTCGGTATTTACGTGTGTATAATTGCAGAAATGAATGACACAGAGGAAGATGCGACGGAGAATGTTGATCAAGCGAAGGAGGAAGAGTCATGGAAGGAGACAGTCAATGGCGTCACTCGCAAGGAAGATTTAACTTCGCTTTTCGAGCTGAGTGATCACAGCGTCAATAAGGTCTATTTTTCGGCGGTGAGTGAAAGCATGTTTACCTTTGAAAAAATATGTTTGTATGCAACAGCGCCAAAGTGTGCTAAAAAGGTCCAGGCATTTATTTATTCAATATTGGGACATTTTGTACCTTGACATTATGATAAACGTATCATTATTCAGGAAATGGATATTCTTTCATTGAAATAACATCATTCTCTGTGCATCTTTTACTTGTCACTTATTTTACTTATTTGATATGCTACTATTTTTTACGTTTCATTCATTGATTATCACTACTTTTAACAAATTAATGTTTCTCTTTTGAATCTGTCATACATTTTACTCATCAGATAGCTCTTCATCCTATCTCACATATTTTGTACACTTTACATTCTGCTAGTTGGATATCAGCATCTCACAATACTAGTCTTATTTTTTATCTTTATATATATATATATATATATATATATACATATATATATATACATACTACTTTTTAAATATTTTTTATTGGCTATATTACTTATTGGCTATCACCACTTTAAACATCATTGATATTTCTTTTTTGAATTTGTCTTTATATATTTTATTCATTGTGTGTATTGAATAGCTCCTTATCATATTTCACATATTTTATGCACCCTACATTCTACTATTTGAATACCAGCATCGCAATGCTGGACTTAATTTTTATCTTTATACGTTTTGTTCATTGGATACCTCTTCATCCAGTTTCACACAGTTTACTCACGCTACATGGTACATGCATTTTGAATACCAGCACATCTATATTGGATTTACTCTTGAGATAACAGTCATTTTTGATAAAAGTAACTGTATATCGTTGAAGAAACGGACAGATCCGAAAAGATTGAATGGAAACGAAGAGGATAGTCGCAGAATTGGTTTATCGCAGGTACCGCAGGTGTGCAAGGACGAGCCATGTCAACTGGGGGTGGACGAAGCAGGTCGTGGTCCAGTCTTGGGCCCGATGGTCTATGGCATCTCGTACGCGCCATTATCGCGCAAACAACTGCTCGTGGAGCTCGGCTGCGCCGACTCCAAGAGCCTGACGGAGAAGAAACGAGACGAGATATTCGACGACATATGCGAGCATAGGGACTGCATGGGTTGGGCGATTGAGGCGATCTCGCCGAACGTGATCGCCAACGGTATGTATCGTCGCACCAAAGTTTCCCTGAACGAGACATCGATGATATCGGCCATCGAGCTGACCAAGGCGGCGATCGAGGCTGGCGTGAATGTCGCCGAGATCTACGTAGACACCGTCGGCAAACCGGAGACCTATCAGGCGCGACTGAAGGCCGTGTTCCCCGGCGTGAAGATCGTCGTTGCCAAGAAGGCTGACGCGACGTACCCGATCGTTAGCGCGGCCAGTATTTGCGCCAAGGTATCGCGAGACCACGCGATCCGCGCGTGGCGCTTCCGCGAGGATGACGTCGCCTTCGGGATGGAGTACGGCAGCGGCTATCCCAATGATCCGGTTACGAAGAACTGGCTGTCGGCGAACGTGGACGCGGTGTTCGGCTTTCCGCGGCTAGTACGTTTCAGCTGGTCCACCGCCGAACAAGTCCTGCAGTCGAAGGCGCTCGCCGTCGACTGGGAGGAGACCGAGGAGACGGGGTTGCCGAACGAACAAAAGATTCTCCATTTCTTTGCCAAGTCTCCGTCCAAGACACTTTCCGGCGCTCACACGAAGAAACACCGCTTCTTCGTGGACCGTTGTCTGTCCAACGCGACCGTTCTGTGATACTTACCTTATATCGAGTCTGCTTGTATTCTTTATATTTCTCAAAGTGAAATTTTACTCAGAAAGTAACATGACAATCGAATCATTGGAATTATCTTTCATTTGTGCAGATTGAATTCTCCATTTTGAATCATTCAGTAAGCACTTTTACTCGAAATTGAGGAGTAAATTTAATGTATTCCATCGTCATAGGAATACTCCAATTTATTAAAAAACATTTTACTTGCATCAAGTAAAAATCCACTCTAAGTTTGAACGAAACATTTGCAATTGACCATAGTTATATAAGAATGATTCAACCTACAAATTTATCTTCTTCTTATTTTTTGGCTTGGAAATTCCCTTTGGCCAGCCATACAAATCTACAAATTTATTAATTTTTTAGTTTTTATTACTAGTGAATAGCCCATATTTATTTTTTCACATAAAACAAAACATTTACAAGCTTTATGAGAACCTAAAATTAATTAAGAAAGTTTTTCTTTTCAATTAATTGCGTCTTTTATATCCATTTTTGATTAAGGGTTAAGTTTATCAATGAATAGAAAAAAAAAAATTAAAGAAAAGAAAAATTAATCATGTTTGATTTCTTGGACGGTTGTGAAAAATCTCTGTACTATTTATATTTTTAAATCATTTATAAATCTTGTATCAATCATTTTCATAATTTTTTTCGAAAAACGTGCTTTATATGATTGGATTATTCTTGCATAACTACAATCAATTTTAAATGAGGTAATATTTTTATTGTAGTTTCAAGTGAATTTTTACTCGTTCTGAGTGAGATTTTGCTCTTCAAGAAATTTAGAATATTATTATAGAAATTTAGAATTTTGTATTATTAGATTCTTGAGAATCCACCGAAAGCATTATCATTATCATTAAACATATCTTTAAAAGTTTTTAATAAATTTCTTTAAATATCTTTAAAAGTTTTTAATAAATTTCGATTTCCAATCTATATGTTTCATCACGAGAGGATTGGTCGGGATTTACAAGCGAGGAGACGTCTAGAATGAGAAGGGTATCAAACAAACCGGGAGTCCTTCGTTCCGGACGTCTTCGGGATTATTGAAGTACACGACGCCACACTCACGAAGTGTCTTTCAGTACGGTTTTATTTGACCGACGGTACAACACATTTCGAGAGAGACTTTTACGCGATTCGCTAAAGAAAATAGTCCCGCAGATCCCAGGAATTCGACATAATCCGTACGCGTTTCCGCGTCTCGGAACGTCTTAAATCATAGACAATTATATATATCGTCCGATTTTTTATGAGTTTGTATATATATATAATATATATATATATATATGTGTATGTATGTATGTATAGTATATACATATGTACAGGGTGCCCTTACAGCTACCATAGATAAAGAGTGTGTGGCAGTTTTTTCTTTTCCCTTTTTTTTTTTTACTGACAAATGTCTCTCTACACACCGTGTGCCACCGTGATTAACATTTAGGAATGCTTAGCGTGAAAAGTTCAAAAATCTTTGGTAAACGCACGCTACAATCACACACGTCGTACAATTATTCTAGACATTATCTCATTACGCACGGTTAATAGCGACTAGATCGTTAAGGGCTACGAATGCAGCGAACATACACGACGGTTTCTCTCGCTTTGCCGTTGTTATTGTTGTTGTCGTCGTCGATGACTCGCGTCGCTCTGTTTCTCCCTTCCTCAACTTGCTCGATCCACGTTTATTTCATCGATCGACACGAGCATATATCGTCGTCGCGCGCGCGTGTCGCCCTCGGTGTTCTCAACTAAATATCCGCCGTACGAGGTGTCGAACGTAGGCACATTCCGATAATTGTTAATCCCGTCGAGCAACGGCGCCACGAATATTTTGCGGGCGAATGCACCGTGAGTTTTTGCTTTCTGAGCGCGAGTCGATCGTTTAGCTCTGGTCTTCTCGTGACGGTCGGAATATTTTCGTATCGTGAATTGACACCTAATAAAACACACTCTCACGCATCGTCGCTCCTCCCGTCGCCGTTGGTTCAGACATAACACGCGCAGTTTAATAAAAATTCGATAAAAATTCAGGGAATCGCCACGTTCTTCGCGCTCGCACGGCGGAACCACAAACACGCTAGCCACAAAGCGAATATACAGACGAAGTACGCGCGTGTGTGTGTGTTTTTCTGTTATGTGTGTTGCGCGTGTGCGTGTTATTGTGTTATGTGTGTCCGCGTGAATGTGTATCCGAAGAAATCGAGTTATGCACTTATGCGTGAATCGCCGTGGGCAATGTTAAAAATAGAGAAAATGAAAGGGAGTGGGAAAACGGAGAAAACTGCTCGCGACTTCGATTTTCCGCGGAATGGTCGCGGCGTCCCCCCCCCCCCCCCC